TTATTATTGCTATTATGTTATAATGAGGTTCCTCCAATCGCAGACCCACGAGAAGCAAGAGGGCCATAGAGTCACACAGAAACACAAGATGGACAGACACTTAATCATTTTATAATGACAGTGGCACCTTTCACCAAGTGAGAAGCTTATGAGTCACAAGCAAGAAAATGATTTCTCCCGTTGCAACAAGTAACACCCTTGAGGCACCTTCCACATCTGGCTCTATTAAATCTCCTGGAACCAGCAGAAATCTCCAGATCTCAGGCTGAAGGGCAAGTAGAGAACCAGAGGTTCTACTTATACCAATTTATGGTTAATCGTCTGAGAGCACAATCCTCACTGTTGAAAATCATACCAAATATAAGTATACTGTTTGTTGCTTAATCAGTATGTTATTTAGGAATCTCTTGACTATTTCCATGCTAATCATCAACCTCAAAGATACAGAAAGCATAAAAGATTGAACTTAAACTTTTTTTTTAATTTACATCCAATTTAGTTAGCATATAGTGCAATAATGATTTCAAGAGAAGAATCCAGTGATGCTTCCCCTACTTACAACACCTAGGGCTCATCCCAACAAGTGTCCTCCTTAGTCCCCCTTGCCATATAGCCCATCCCCCCACCTTAAACCCCTCCAGCAAGCCTCAGTTTGTTCTCTGTATTTAAGAGTCTCTTATGTTTTGTCACCCTGTTTTTATGTTATTCATGCTTCCCTTCCCTTATGTTGACCTGCTTTGAATCTTAAATTCCACACGAGTGAACTCATATGATATTTGTCTTTTTCTAATTTCACTTAGCATAATACACTCTAGTTCCATTCATGTTGTTGGAAATGGCAAGATTTCATTCTTTTTGATTGCCAAGTAATATTCCATTGTATATGTATATCACCTCTTCTTTATCCATTCATCAGTCAATGGACATTTGGGCTCTTTCCATACTTTGGCTATTGTTGATAGTGCTGCTATAAGCATTGGGGTACATGTGCCCCTTAGAAACAGCACACCTGTATCCTTTGGATAAATACTTAGTAGAGCAATTGCTGGGTTGTAAGGTAGTTACAGGAGAATTAATTTATAACCTTGAAGTAGGAAAAGTCTTCTTTTGTTTAATGTTTATTTATTTTTGAGAGAGAGAGAGAGAGAGAGAGAGAGAGAGAGAGAGAGAGACAGAGTGCAAGCAGGGGAGGGGCAGCAAGAGAGGGAAACACAAAATCCAAAGTAGGCTCCAGGCTCTCTGATCTGTCAGCACACATCTGACTCAGGGCTCAAACTCAAGAACTGTGAGATGACCTGAGCTGAAGTCGGACACTTGACCGACTGAACCACGCGGGTGCCCCTCTATTTTTAATTTTTTGAGGAAGCTCCATACTGTTTTCCAGAGTGGCTGCACCAGCTTGCATTCCCATGAGCAGCGCGAAAGTGTTCCACTTTCTCAGCATCCTTGCCAACATCTGTTGTTCCCTGAGTTGTTAATGTTAGCCATTCTGACAGGT